GGAAGCAATCAACAAATATCATCAAGTCAAAGCAATTTATCAACAGGCAGGAATGAACATCAGAGAATTTGTTTCGAACTCAACCGAAGTCAACAATCAACTACCAGAAGAGGACAAGCTGGAAGGACCGATCAACAAATTTTTGGGACTCAAATGGGACACATGCAAGGATCAATTTGTGTTTGAATTCCCGCAACTACCAAGTGGTCACCCAACACGCAGAATTATTTTCTCAGTTGTTCACTCAATCTTCGACCCTGCTGGACTGATCTCACCGTGTCTGCTCCGTGCCAAACTGTTTGCTCAGGGACTTTGGCAAGAATCAATTACTTGGGACTCACTACTTTCAGAAGAGCTTGTTATGGAATGGAAGAATATTACTAATGCTTGGATCGGTCAAACAATCTATGTGCCGCGCAGATGCACTCAAGGAGCAGAAAGAACTTGTCAACTACATATTTTCGCCTCAACATGCCTCAACACTAGCCTTTGCAACTAGCGTCTACCTGCGAACTGATCATGGAAATTGGTGCAACTGTCAACTCATCTTCTCAAAGGGACGACTATGCCCTAAGGCCGCTGGGAAGTCACTTACTGTGCCACGTCTTGAACTACTTGCGCTACTTATTGGAGTTCGCGCCAAAACATTTGTGGAGAAACAACTTCAAGGACTCATCTCAGAATGTCACGTGTGGAGTGACAGTCAAATTGCATTATCATGGCTTCAATCTAAGGAACAACAACCAGTCTTTGTTCAGCGGCGACTCAGGGAAATTCGACAACACACAGATTGTACTTTTCACTATGTTCGAACTTCAGAAAACCCAGCTGACCTGGCAACCAGAGGACTCAACCCAAGAGAACTGTCAGTAAGTCAACTTTAGTGGAAGGGACCTGATTGGCTCGTGCGCTCGCCTGAGGAATGGCCTGAGGAGCTGACCTTCCAAGTGGCAACCGAAGTGGACTCGCCGCTGCCAGAATTAGATGTGTGTACTTCAGGAACTTATTTGGCCTCAAATCAGACTCAAAGGAACCAACTTACAATTGATCTTAGTCGGTACTCAACTATGGACAAAGCTACTAGGGTCGCAGCTTATGTTCTTCGCTTTATGGGAAAAATTACTAAGAGAGGGCAATTTACCGTGTCTGACCTGGAAAGTGCTCGTCTACTACTCATCAAGGAAGCTCAACAACACTACATGGATCAACTGGGTGATCTAAGGATATACAGTGACAACAATGGGATCTACCGGCTTGCAACTAGAATTATCAACCACAAAGGCAACCCCGACTTAGTCAACCCAATTATACTACCAGCTGGAGCACAAATAACATTGCTGATGGTCAACCAAATCCATGAACGTCTACTGCACATGGGTGTAGACTGGACTCTTGGAGAATTTCTACGAACTTATTGGGCTCCACATGCACGTCGAATAGTGAAGAAAGTGATTAGGAATTGCCCAAAATGTGCTCGCATGTGCTCTTACCCTTATGCTCGACCGGATATGCCGCCACTACCAGCAGATCGTGTCAACCGTCTACGACCGTTCTCATCAGTGGGATGCGACTACTTAGGACCAACCAAAGCAAAATTGGGCAACGGCTCTGTGAAAGTATGGATTGTGCTCTTCACCTGTTTGTCTACCCGTGCAGTCTACTTGGAACCAACAATGGACCTTACAGCAGCTTCCTTTACTAATATTCTTCGACGTCTTATTAGCAGAAGAGGATGCCCGTCCAAAATAATATCCGACAACGGACGACAATTTGTGCTTGCCAACAAAGCTTTACTTCGACTTTGTCCACCGTCACCAGATCAAGAAGTTGAACAACTGGATGTGAACACTCGGGGGATTCAATGGCTCTTTATCCCGCAACTTTCCCCTTGGATGGGGGGATTTTATGAACGTTTGGTGGCTATAGTCAAGAACTGCTTCATGCGTACTTTGGGAAGACGTGTACTCACCTACGACGAACTATCAACTTTCACAGCAGAAGTGGAAGCAGTCATCAACCATCGACCACTTGCTTATGTCTCTGAGGAGATGGATGCTCCTCGACCACTCAGACCAATCGACCTTGTTCAACCTGGTGCTCAAATTGATCTACCAGTTGCCCAAGTCGACTACAACGAACATGACCGCAAGGCACCGCCAGAGGACAAGATTATATCCTGGTGGAAATCAACTCAAGAAGCAGTGGAAATGTTTTGGGACCGATGGCACACTGAATATTTGACTATGCTTCGAGAAAGATCAGCCTGGCAACACAAAGGACCTCGTCTTAAGCAATGCCGACCACCATCAATTGGAGAAGTGGTGCTCATTGGAGATGAACTTCACCCACGCAATATTTGGCAACTAGCACGTGTTACAGAACTAAATGGAACAACACCGAACATTAGAAGTGTGAAACTTCGCCTGCCAAATGGTCACATCACTACTCGACCAGTTTCGAAGCTTTACCCGCTGGAATGCGCAACACGTGTTCATCAAGAGAAAGAAACTTCAGAAGAGCCAGAACATGAAGCAGAACAATTGGAAACTACTCAGAGGCAACCTGGAGACAAAGCACTTGAAATGGAAGAACTTGAGGAACTAGAATCAACTGATCATCAGAAGGATCAATCTGCGAAACCAACGAAACCAACTACTAAGACGTGGAATCTTCGTCCGAGAGCAAAACAGAAAACTACATTGACTGTTATTACACCATGGATTTTGGCAATTATATGCTTGCTCAATTTGCTAGCCCCAGTCTCAGCTTTGGTGGATTGCTCTAAATGTCTACTAACTTGTTCAAATAAAGGAATTTTTGTCAGCACACCACCACAAATAACAAAAATGGAAATTTGTTGTGAGGGAGATTGCCTGATACGACAAGCTTCACCAAATGTTACTTATGAACTGCCGCAGGAAATGTTACTACAGGCTTACACTTGCAAGAGTTACTTCTGGACGACTACCAGCGAAACATGTGCCGTCCACACTACTTGCCCAGCAATAGGAGACTGTTCACTGATTGACTGTCTCTTCTGTATCGACCACGTCGCCAACCCAACATGCAGTCCAAGATGGGCAGCATTTTTGACAGGACTTGTTATGAGCTTTACTATTTGCTGTTGCGGATGTTTACTATGTCTACTACGAATTTTTAGCTTCAATGTTCGTGCACTAATGTCAATATGTTACTGCATAGTGGGATGTGGAACACTCTGTACAAGGAAGACTACTCAGAAAGCTCAAACTTTGGCTAGAACTACAGGAATCGCAGCAAGAGCTCGAATTATGAGACAACAATTGAACTTAGCAAGCCGCAACTTACAGCAGACCGGACAGGAATGGAGACGTGCTCACCTGGACCGGATACTTGGTAGACGACCCGCACCCTCAAATTGGATACCTTTGGTCGTGCTACTCACTTTGGCCAGTCAAACTTATTCCTCCAATACCGTGGCAGTCACAACGAAGTCAGAAAGCTGCCGACGAGGACCGACAGGAATATCTTGTGTGCTCAACTATGCCACAACATTAACTTTACTACCAAAAGGCCAAACAACTACTTTGTTACTTAGAAACGAACATGGAATCGCGTTAGGAACTTTAAGTATTATAGTGGATGCCCTCACGATGGATTGTGTGCCGAAATCCGAGGGATGGTACCGGAGCTATACTATGGAAACACTTGCTGTCAAGAGATGTCCTACTAGTGGATCATGCAAAGAAAACTACTGTGCAAGTGTCAGACCGTCAACAGTTATACCAGAACTACGAGAAGTCAACAGTTTACCTGGAATTTCGCGATGTGAACCAAGCTCATCATTTTGGTTTCAAGGATGCGCCCTACCTACGAGTGCATGCCTGTTCTACCGGACTTTTGCTCGTCCAACTACTGGAAACACTTTTGAACTCATCACTTGTCCGACATGGGAGTTCAACATACACGCAAGTTTACAACTAGAGGTCAGTGGGAAGAAACCTCCCATGGAATCAATTGTACTGCACCCTGGAATGACTTTCAACTGGAACAACGTTTCTGTGACACCAATCGCTGTCGCTGCACCCCCGGCACCAGTCTTGAACCGGCAATTCATCACTGATGGGACCAGCGTGGCAATGGTGGAGAATATACCGAGAGACTTGGATTGTGCAACTGAATCAGATGCTAGAATGTTCAACTGCAGCATATCAAATACAGTTTGCGTCGACTGTATCTTTGACCACGACTCTGGAGCAGTGGCCTGCAGTTGCCGTGACTTGAACTTTGAGAGAATACTACATGACTCAACAGTGAGACTACCACTCAGTGTGGCGAAACTACAGCTTAGAAATGAGAAAGCAAACGTCTATGCGGACTATGGCTACTCGCCGCTACAACTACATGTGCAGATGAAGCATTTGGAACTACTATTGGAATTTCAAGACTCGCATTGTATTGTTCAAATACACAACCTCACTGGATGTTATAAATGTGAAAGCGGAGCGCAACTACAATATACTTGTTCAACAGACCGTGGAAACGCACTTGCCAACATTGAATGTGCTGATGGAACTGTATTTTCAGCAAGATGCTCACCAAATGGAACTATTGGAAAAGAGAATTTACCGTTTGACCACTTTCAAATCCGGACCAATTGCCGTGTTGACTGTCCTGCAGGAGAAACTAACTTTGAACTCATTGGAGACCTTTACTATGTGCCAATCAAGAGAAGATTTCAACATGGACACCGAGACTCAGAAACACTGGATTTACCTTCAGGCAATTGGTGGGACACTGGATTTGACCCAAGAGTATTGGCAACACTCTTGACTTCGTTCTCAAGCATCACCTCCCTACTACTCGCACTAATTATTGGAATTGGACTACTGTACTTATTTGTGCGCCTCAACCCAGTATTTCGAGCCTGGAAGGCAGCAGCTCGACTCGTGCTACTCATCACGATACTTTCACTTTGCTTCGCAACTCAGGCGCCGGGAGGGCCCTACGGACGGGAGAATATGCTAATCTCGACTTATGGAAACTTTGGTCTCGAATCTCGACTTAGAATATGGAAGAATATGCATGTCTCGACAACCTCGACTTCATGCCTCGAGTCTCGAAAAACTTATGGGAAAACTTGGCACACCCACTTACAAAAATTGGCACCGCCTACTCTACTTAACAACTTAACAACGATAAACTTGTATCAATGGTCACGCCCACTTTTGTCTATAAAAGCTCAGCTCAGAATGCCATCCATCAATCATTTTATCAACTTGGAGAACTTAGAAGAACTTTGGTCAATCAATATGATGCGCCTTCGCAACAATGTTGAAACAACTCCAACTCGATTGGACCGTTGGCTGGATCATCACTACTTTGGATGGAATTGCGACGACAAAACTCAATTCGAAGCAGGAGTAGCAATTGCTAAGTTAATGGAAACTGGAAATGCCGAACTTGAAGTTTTGACTGCCAAAAGAACTTTGCGACGACCAGCAGGACTTGCAGGATTTACTGAGCTACCTTCCAACAAGGAACTGATTATGCCCAATTGCACTGTCGACCGTCACTACTGGAACAAAGGAGTTAAACTGATACGACCTGATCTACCTTGTATGCTATTTGGAAACCCGCTGGAACGTGAAAACCGACATGGATTTCGTGGATCAAGTGCTAAATCATTACGTCGCAACCGTGGAAAGGCTTGTTGGAGGCAAGGAGAACGACACTATGAACTGATCCCACCAGAAAGAATTTATTGGGTCAACTCTGAACAAACAGCACGTGAAAGTGAACAATACTCTGAACATGGTAGTGCTCAACCGGAACATGACATTTGGTCTGATGGGACATTTGATGGAGAACATGCTACTCCACCGCTGGCCGCCAACAGAACTTCTACGCCTGTGCAAAATGAATTTGGGACTCGAGAACTACCAACTATACCAATCTCACCAGTGATGGTATACCGAAAATTTGCAAACAACGTTGAACCGTTTGATAATGGTGGATTTAACCGATTGGACTCGTCTATACCAACAGAACCTATGGCTGGAACAACTTTAGGCAATAACCGCAACGCCAATCGCAACGTGCGCCGAAATGCTCAGCCAACTACTCAACAGTCAACTAGAAACTCACAGTCGACTACAATTCGTGGAATGGATAATCGCCCGCAGTCGACTACTAATCACTCACGTTCAACTACTCAACCGCAAGTGCCTACAAACAATTTGCCACGACAAACTAACATGCGATCGAACTCGAACATGGTGCAACAATCACAAGCAGAAACTAAATGCCCACACTTGACATGTCGTCAACAAGCTCCACTTCATATAAAGCTAATTTTTCACCACGAACGATCGTCAACACAATGGAAAGTTTGTATCAACGAGAACATGATCATCGACAGAACACGTGAGAATCAATACTGTGGCACTTCTGCCGAACAATGTCAATGCATGATGTCGATGATGGAAATGAACGATGATGAAGAGAAGGAAGAACAAGAAGTGGGAAGAAGATGATAATCGACTAAAAGTCGATTCTTTGGGGCGGGAGTGTCGCCGACAGGCGACGAATTTGTCACCTTTTTCATAGGTTTTACACTGTCTCCTAATTTTACTTATATTTTTTCCCATTTCTCTAATTACTATTTGATTTTTACTCCTTTTGTCAGTTGTACGTACTATTTCCTTCTTTTCACATATTTTGTTGCTAACCACGCCCATCTCTTCTTCGGCTGGTCGGAAAACAAGCCACGCCCCAGGCTAGACCAGCCGTCTATTTAAGCATTTGCTTTTTACCCTATTTTCAGTTCATTCACCAGTTCCCCAGTTCAGTTCATTCGTTCGCATTGCTCCCAGTTTATATTTATTTGTACGTCCCTTCACTTATTTAACTTTGTACGTGCATTTTACTTGTTTTGTTCGCTTTTATTATATTTGGCTGCCTTTGGAAAATAAATATTTTTTACTTCGCTGCTTTTTATTTCTTTGAGCTTAGTCGCCCTTTTCCTCTTTGTTTAATCGCCCTGCAAGTGCTTTTGGTGACAACGGTCGATTAAATTTTAATCGACCTTCAGCAGACTACATTTGGCCTGCTCTTTCAACAATCGCCCTTTTAGCGAACAACAGTCGACTACTTGCCGTCGACTAAATTTGGCCGTGCTCTTCCAACAATCGACCTTCCAACAACAACACAATCGACTGTTCACAGTCGACTACAATTGACCGAAAGGACAATTGGTCGACCGTTTAATAGTCGACTGCACGTGCCGAAACAACTACTTCCTTTTTGTGCCGAGGGAACTTGGAACAACGCGTGGCTGGTCTGACTTCAACGGACCTGTGTTCCTCGACAACAAATCCCTCGCCCACATACCTTGTAATTTTGGCTTTCTAAAACATCCAAATCACGAGTTTTGTCAAAATTAACAAGCATTTTGTTCAAATTTTTGTAAACTTTCTTACTTGCATTTAACAAAGAATTGTGAAGATTCCACAGTTTGTAAACTGGCTGAATTTTAAGGGTTTTAATATATTTTATTAGAAATTAAATTAGGAGAGTGTTAAGATAAAATTTTGACGTGTTAAATATAAACTTGTGATTTAGACTCCAATTAAATTAGGAGTCTATTACTTTGGAATTACTTTGGAGAGTTCTCTGAATTTAAGATTCAATTGTGGGCCTATCTTTAACAAATTTCAGTGTTGCTTAGACCTAGAATTGAGCTGCCCCGTGACTAATAAATTTCTTCTCCTAGAATTTTATATTCCCTCTCGATGAGTCGGAGCTACATGACATGGTTTCAATTTAATTCACTTTATATTCTATAGGGTTCAGCGGTATCGGGATCCCGACCGGTATCGGGCGGTATTATACCGGTCTCTTTGAATACCGATACCGATTTTACTGATACCGCTACCGAATGATAAATCCCGATACCGTTTTTGCTGATACCGATACCGAGGCCGGTATCGGTATCGGGATTAGCGTCGGATACCGATGAATATCGGTATTTTTTAACACCCTAAGGATCGATTTTTCATTTGTTTTTTGGACGAAATTACCACATGGCCTTCTAAAATTCTCAAAAATTTCGCCTGCGGCGCTGAAATGAGAAAAAGCTAGGCCTTCTGGCCTTAAACTTTTCGAAATTTTCGATTTTGGCGCCTTCGGTGAATTGAATTTTGGCTTAAAAGTAAAATAATGTTCATTAATGAAACACAGGTGTTTTGTTAATGAATGAAGCCTAATGAAAAAAAAGTTTGATCCAGGTCTGGTCCTCATATTGAGGGATATCGTTCGATTATCGGGGGTATCCCTAGTACTTCCAAAAGTCGACTGATATCCCACCTAATCCCCAAAGTTGATTTGAGGTATAAAGTTGAATTTGGGGTATACCCGTGGATGAAGATGATATCGGAGGATTAAAGTGGATATCGATGGATTTGGAAGGTATTCTATTGGTTCCTGAGATGTTTTTGTCTCGAGAATGGCTTTATAGTGCTAATTTATCATTTTACTACAGATTAATACCTTTTTCAAAATGAGGAATAAATTTATTTATTAAAGAATTTATTTATTTTTTTCGGATTAAAATTTCTTTAGAAAATACCGATACCGATTTTTCAATCCCGATCCCGAGTCGGTACCGGTATTGGGATCGGTATCATCGATCCGAAATACCGATACCGGTTTTTTCTCGGAATACCGGTACCGCTGAACCCTAATATTCTACCAATGGTGGATTAAAGTCTATGAGAAAGAACATGTTTTAAAATATAAATTTAAAAAAATCTGACAAATGGAGTTTTTTTCATTGTAGTATTTAAAACACCAGAAGATAATTCGTTTATTTGCTCATAAAATTCCTTCAAGTCACCAATTAATATTTCAATTTCCATTTTTTCATTATGTTTCAAATTAAAAAGTAAAGGTACTTTCTTCTTATTCTTTTTCCATAAATCTTTTAATACAATATTTCTAATATCATTATTATTTTCTGATTTTGAAACTTTATCATCAAGAATTCGGGATGGAGTAAGTTCCTTGTCTAAACCGCCATAATCGTTTTTAATTAATTCGTTAATGTCTTCAAGTTCGATTGTTATTCGCTAGGTTTAAAATTTTGAGAAATACTTTTATAAAGCTAAAGTTAATTTTAATAATTTATTTTATTCTCTTTAGCTTTATTTTTGGGGATGAGTCAGGGTGGCCCTTTCCAAAACACTAAAATAGGGCGCAGCCACTCAAAAATAGGGCAAAAATAGGGCGAAATCGGCCAGAAATAGGGCAAAAAATAGGGTATTATTTAAAAATCTTAGAAATAATTGAAATTTCAATTAAAAAGCTTTATTCTAAATTTTTAAACTAGGTTTAACTAAATTGAGCAACTGGAGGAATATAGGGGGATTTTGAGCAATTATTAATGGAATTGGGGTTAACAGAGTTATCTAGGGGATTTAGGATCAAGAAAGTTATCTAAGATGGATAAATGGTTAGAAACTTGTATCTAGGGATTTGTGAGGATTCAGTGGATTTGGGGGTAGTAGAAACATCGGGTATTTTTTACGTCCAATTTTGGTGGATTAACAATAAGTGCTGGGATTGGGGGATTAAGAGAGATATCGAGGCACTTGGGGATTAATCCACGATGTCCCTTCATATACCTTTAATTATTATAAATTACATTATATCCAACTTAGTCTTCTATTCACCTTAATCCTCGCATGCACCATTAAGCTCTCAAATCCATTGATATCTCTCATTGATATCTCTCTTTATCATACAAACCCCTCGTTATCCAGTCAGACCCCATAATCCTAGTAAATCCTCCTAAATCGTCTATAGTAAAATCTATAGTAAAACCTATATTGCACTCAAGCCCTTCCAATCTCTCAATTTCAGACAAAAGTCTTCACAGATTCTTCCTTTTTCAGCGCCGCAGGCAAAAATTTTGAGAATTTTGTAAGGCCAAGAAGCCAGATTTCTTCCTTTTTTGCGCCGCAGGCGAAAATTTTAGGCATTTTGGAAGCCGTGAAGCCAGATTTCGTACTTTTTCTGCCATTTCATTTACAAAATTCTAAAATTGTAAAAATTTTACAAAATGGTAAAAATAGGGCAAAAATATGGCAAATGTAAAAATAGGGAAAAAATAGGGCGGAAAGGTCGAAAATAGGGCAAATGCCCTGTAAATAGGGCAAAAGGGCCACCCTGGGATGAGTCTATGAAAGAAATTTAAAAAAATTTGCATTTTTCGACCGCCAAATGAACACTTTGGATTTTCGAATTCTAACATTAAGAAAAATTTACAAAAATTCCATCAAATTGTTAACAAGAAATACCTATATTGTTACCAAGAAAAAATAAAAAGAATTAGACACAAGTGTCGATATCTCGATACCCTTTTAACTTCAAATAATTTTTAGCTATATCTTAAGAGAACTGATTCATTCAGTTTATCAAAGGATTTCTGTAAAGTATATTCTCAATTTATTCAGAAAAATCATGTACCTTTCCAACAACTGTTTTAAATCCTTTTTCAGTCTTCTCAAAATCAAGAACGTGTTTTGTCCAATAATTTTCTATTTTTAAATTAACATTTTCTTCAATTATTCTGTTATACAAATTGTGAAGATGTTTAATTTCCTTTATTTGGTTATACACAGTTTTATATCTATCCAGCATATATTCTTTAATTAATTCTTCAGTCTTTTCAAATTCCTCTCCCATTTTCTTGAATGAATTATACTCAAGTCCAACAACAAATTCTGTAAAAATTTGTTTCAAAACGTTGTTAACCGTTTTTCGAAGCTTTAAAAGATGTTTGTAGAGAGGTGAATCCTCATCCTTTTTAGGACTTTGTTGGCTGTGTTCAACAATACTTTGTTCTAAAATTTATAAAAAAATTTTTTGTAGATATCAATTCATATTATATTATTAAGGAAATAGGTATAACCTTCTTAAAAAGGATTACGACTCGCATAATTATCGTAAGGCGGAAAACTTTCCCAGAAAAAATACATAGGTAGGTATAATTAGGTATAATTATACATACATATGTATATTCACCGATCTAATAATTTATACACATATTTCAAAGTTTCATTCTTATGCATTTCCCTATGGAATCGATCAAAACTTCGAGCTTGGCTAAATTATGATAGAGTTATATCCCATACTCGAGTCTTATAAAATTCTCCAAACTAAAAGGTCCTTGGCTGCTCGCTTATTCCTATATGAATAAACAAATATCGTGTCATTTTGTACACTTAATCCTTAAATTAATTTTTACCATCGTGTTGAGTATGTTGTGATGAAACAATTTGTGCTGATTGTTCTGATGGTTGATTAAATGTAAGGTCACCTGAAATTATTGAAACAATTTAAATATTCAAAAATATTCAAAATTTAAAGGATTAATCTAACCAAATAATTCCTGAAAAGTTTTGTCCTCCCATTCTTGCGCGAAATTACTCTTTTCTTGTTTCTGTGACGTTTCCAAAGAAATTAGGGGCAATTCAGAATTCTTGTTTTCAACATTTTTATCGGAAATATTTTTATTAATATCTTCCAATTCTAATATATTCTAAAAATGATCGAAAAAAAAGTTAATCTCAAAAGTTAATTAAAAAATAAATTTTTGTACAAGAAGGTACAAAATATTTTTTTTTTAATTAAAAAAATAAAAACGAACATCCTCTTCCACTTTATCAAACCAAAACAATTTAAGTTTATCAAATAATTCCTTGTAGACAATTGCTTCTCCTGGCAATTTTTCAGTAAATTGCTTCAATACATTACCCAAAATTAATTTAGGGTTAATTTCAATGTATTTATCTAAAAACGGATTTGTTGTATTTACTTCATATGTAAAATTCAAGGTTATTTCCAAAATTGGAAAATTTAAATTCTCTTGTTTACGAATAAATTTGTCCAAAATTGAAATAAATTTCTCAACTTTTTTTATGGGTAAAAAATTCTCCTGTGTGATTTTTAATTTTTCTTCTGGAGAAATATCTTTAAGAATTATTAGAAATCATTTTAATTTAAATTTAAAAATGTGAAATATAAAAATAAAATTATTTGAAAAATTTTTCTAACGTTATCTTAATACCTCTTCAGTTTTTCAAATTCCCTACCGATTTACTCAATTAATTACCATCCCTCAAATATTTATCCCCTCCCTATTAACTAATACCTTCTCTAGCTAGAAGTTTAAATAATAATTTTAAAAAATGTTGAAAAATTCTCTAGAAAATATTTTTTCTAGAGAATTTACTGAAAAATTAACTACAACTCTTTTGTCTACATGTTTCTAAAATTTCAATAAAGGATAGAAAAATTATTTGAAACAACAAATAAAAATATTTATTTGAATTATTAAAGGACCTTTAAATTTGTCGACTTTTTCTAGCATTTTGCTGAATTTTTTTTCAGTTTTTTCGATTAATTCTATTTGTTTATGAACCAAATTGTTTGGATTTGAATGATGTTGTTGATGATGAGGGTTGATGTGGGGAGGAAACATTCCATAGGAATGTTTCAGCAAAAAGAAATTTAATGCCAATAATGGCAGAATTTTGTTGAATGATAAATTAATTATCATTCTTATTTAAGGAAAAAAAGTTTTCCTTAAATAAAAATATTTAAAATTAAAATTATAACAATTTAAAATTATTTTAAAGGAAGTTGGACTAAATAATGCTTAAAATAGTGTTTGGCTCCGTTTTTGAATTATCGAGGTATTACCAATTTCGAAATAAAATTTTGAAAATTTCGGAGTTTAAAAATTAAAAAAAATTTTTTAATAAATTAAAATGTGGTTTCTCCATTTTTTCATGCCATTTTATGCTAAGCATTAAAGAGGAGGAGCTTTCGCAGAGTTGCGTCGTAATTACGAATTACGGCGTTTTTTAAATTACGAATTACGATTCCGAAATTTTTAAAATTACGATTACGAAATTTTTTTTCGTAATTCGTAACTCAAAAGACGCCTTAATTCGTAACTCAAAAGACGCCTTAATTCGTAACTCAAAAGACGCCTTAATTCGTAACTCAAAAGACGCCTTAATTCGTAACTCAAAAGACGCCTTAATTCGTAACTCAAAAGACGCCTTAATTCGTAACTCAAAAGACGCCTTAATTCGTAACTCAAAAGACGCCTTAATTCGTAACTCAAAAGACGCCTTAATTCGTAATCGCAATTCATAATTACGACGCAACTCTGATTCGGATCTTCACCTCAAAAATAAGCTTGGCCCCTCTTATAGTTTTACGATTTTCAGGTCTCCGTATCACGGTTCACAAGCATTTCCGCTTGTAAGGAGTGGTCGACTGAGTTAACTGAAACAAATAGATGGTAATGTTTCGAGTCTAATCCAAAGATAAATGATATATTTTTTGAAATTTTAGGAACTTCAACATAAATTAGAAAAAAACAATAGGCTGCTAGAAATAGGAACAATATGGATTTAAACATTTTGATAAGAGATTTAAAAAATATTTATAAAAATAAAACTAAATACAAACGTAAATGAGTAAATAAAATATATCTAAAATTTTTATTTTGTTTCAGTTATTATCATAGTTTCTTGTACAAAAACATCAGTTGAATCTAATATATCTGTAAATTAAAAAAATAAATTTTCGAAAGTTAAAAATTTGTTGGGAGAATAAGTTTGTCTGAAAGGATTTTCTGAATATTCAAAATAAATTTTATAGGTTTCTTAGAAATATTTTAACAATCAGCTATTTTGTTATAATATTTACGGTGTCCTCCATTATTTCAAAAATGTTATCAAGTTATTTTGACTGATATAAGAGGAAAATTACAGAAATTTAATTATAAATTCTTTAGCCGCTATTGTTTTTAATTAACGTAATGTTTCAAGGATTATGCACTAAAAATTTAATTGCCGATTTTTAAAATCGAGACGGCAATTTTTATACAAATGTGGATTTATAAAAATTCGGTTTTATTATTATAAAAATTTTTATAAAAATAATAAGACCGAAATTTATGTTAATAAGGGAAAATTAAATATAAAAAAGTTAGGTTAAGAAGCAAATTGCGAAAAAAAGCAAAGCAAACAAAAACTTATAAACTGTAAAATATACAAGGATTTATGTTGTTAAAAGGAAAATATACATATTTTTGGGGAAAATTTTTTATCCAAATTTTTAGGGAGAAATTTTTGTAGGAGAAAATTCGTCAAAAACAACAAACAAAAATTAAATAAAAAATAATAAAACCGAAATATTTATGTTGAATTGTTTTTATTTCCAAAATTTTTATTATTTTCCAAAATTTCCTCTGGAGATGTTTTCGAATTTTCTTTAATTTTGTTGTTATTTATTTCTTTATTTATTTCATCTTTTTTTATATTATTATTTAATTCTTCCTCTTTTCTTTTATTTATATCACAAAAAATACCGGTACTATTTAGTACATTATTATTTGTAAAAATTAGAGAATCATCAGAATTAACAGAAGTATTCGAACATTGACTACTCCAAGAGAAAACACTCGCTTTATGTTGTTGTTGAATTTGGATTATATTAGATATTGCTGTTTTTGGGCGTGGGACATCATCAATACCTTTTAGAGAGGGATTGGAATTTTATATAATTAATTAATAGAGCCAGAATTTAAAGTCAAACTAGACAAGATTTTGTGTTATTAGTTAAAGATTAAAATGAACTATAGTTGTAATTCTCTCATTCTAAAAGGACTAAGCACGTTCGTTATTAGAGAGGGTGGTCGGAATTCCGATTTCCGACGTTATTTACTTCCGATTTCCGAAAAAAATTTTAATTTCCGAGTTCCGACTTTTGAGCCAGTTCCAATTTCCGGCTCTTCCGATTTCCGACACTTCTGACTTTTCCGACCAGCCTCTGGTTAGTAGAGAGGGCCTATTTTAGAGAATTACGATAAAATTTCTCTGGAAAACCCTCAAAATCATTAGTATAAAAAAATAAAAACTGATATTAAATTCAAAAAACATCGTCAAAAAATAAAAATCACCCGAAAGCTAGTCTAAACAAATTCCAAAACCTCTTTTCCGAAACTTCAAAATAAATAAATTACCTAATCCTCTATTATCTAAACTATCAGCCTCTCTTTGAGCCCTCATTTCTTGCCCAGCAGTTGCTGGACTACCCCAAGATGCAACCGAAGCTTTTTGTCGATTAATTAAAACAACTCCAAGAAGGGAAGCATCACTTTTACGAGAAGTTCTGCTACGGGCAGAAGGAGGGGGAGATTCGTTTAATAATTCTTGTTGTTGATTAGTTGAATTATAATTTATTCTTGGAGAAGCAGTAGAGCATGAAAGAGCTGCTCGTAAAACTAAAAAGAACGAAAAAACAAAAGCGGACAAGAAATAATTAAAGCAAAAACGGGTCAAAAATTGAGGGTTAAAAATGAGGTTTTTAAAATAAATTTAAAGCTGTTAGCAAAAATGGGTAAAAACAGCAAAAATTGTAAAAACAAAAATAAATTTCAAAGAGGGATAAATAATTTTGAAAATAAAAATGTTTTACCTGTCTTTGAATTGCTGACAGAATCCGCAAAAAAACCACTCTCGTCTTCAGCAAGCTGAATAAAAAATTTTCAGATTTTTAATAAAAGATTTTTCTCTACTAATTATCGCCCTCTAAAATTGCGAGGCCTCAATGAAATATCGAAGAAATAATTATACGGGGTAATTATTCGATAAGATATGGAGAAAAATAATATTTTAAAAGTCAAATAAATGCTCCTAGAAAACCAATCGTAGACAAAAATTAACACAAAGAATCCAAGGGTAAATCTCTTAACTTTATCTTATTAAATTAGATAATATCCTCTACATTTAATAGAGGATTAAACAGATAAATCTCTGTACTAGTAGACAAATAATATTCTATTAAATTACATGAAAAAACATACAGGTGGATTAATTTGTGATTGAATAGAAGACTGTTTTTGTCTAAATTGTTGAGAATACTTTAATTGATCAGAATCATGTCTGTCCACAGAGCCAGCTGCAGCAGAATCTTCAGAGCCGACAGATGACTGTGAAGACAATTTACGCGGTTTTACCATGAAACCAGAGGATGCTGAAGGTCTTTGATCTCCATTTCTATTAATTCACAATAATTAATTTCTATTCATATATAATATTTTTGGCTACCTTTGTGAACTTTGGAGAACAGTCGAAAAATGTTCGAATAATCGACGGAATCTTCGAAGAGGTCCTAAAAACAATATTGAAAATAAGGTGTCAGAGAAATCTACCGGAAATCAAAGTAAACTGAACAACATAAAAATCAGTTATTTCAGAACAATTAATCGAGTTTTGAGAGTCTCTTCGTTGATTTGGAGGTGTTAGAATATCCACTAAAATAATTAATTTTCCACTTTAAATTACTTTCCTTCGTAAAAACCTTGAAATTTTACACCCCTAGAAAATCCTAAATAAGGCAAACGTTTGTATTCAACTCTAAACGAATTTTGGCCGACAACAGAATGGCTAAGTTCGTGAATCTAAGAAATTAAAAAAAAATTTTGGAAAAAGAAAATTTTTTAAAAAATATTACTGTTAAAAATAGCCGTATTAATTCAGCTTTAATTTCTGGCAAAGTTTTGTTTTGAACAGGAATACAGGGAGTATCGTCTCTATCTGCTCCACTCATCGATAATGAACCGAAAAATGATTTTTTGACGAGACTAAAATTGAAAATTATTTTTTTAAATAAAATTTTAATTTTTGCAAGACCTATACCTTAGAGAATATTTCAAAGAATGAGTTAGTTTTGCTATTATAGACGGAAGGAAGGGGCATACCAATAAAAAATCCTGAAATCACTAGTATAATTTGATGCATCTCGTCGAGGGAATGCGGGATTCGAAAATTTTAAACGTATTTACAACTCAAGGGCCATTGGACACTCCAACTTGATGAGCTTCTAAACGAGTGCAGTTTATGAAAGTGTGCCTCCATAGAGAGGGTTAACTTATTAGAATAGTCCTTATTTCAACTTCAAAAATAATCCTTTAAATTCTCCTTACTCAGATGTTGAGTCAGACAAATTTGTTGAAGAAACACCTCCATTGCATTCTGTATCAGATTCATTACTACCAGCATTATATCCATTATTTGTATTATTACTACTTCCTCCAACAGATTTTCTGTGAAAACGAGGAGTTCCCAAAATGGAGTTTTTAATTGTTGTTGAAATTTTAGAGTGCCAGGGTCCTGATGGGCCAATAATTGAAGAATTTGAAGATGAGGAAACAGCAGTAATGGAATTATTTGAGGCATTCATTGATGGAGAATTCATCAAAACAATACCCGAAGAGGAGGCAATGGAATTAGAAGAAGAAGCTGCTGAAGAAGCAACGGCTGTTGGGGTAGTTGTTGTTGTAACAACAACACCTTTACAAATTAAATAAACATGGGAATATCTCAAAAATTCAACTCAGATATGGGCAAAATATTTAGAATTAAAGGGATATTACGGGGCTACGAGCGGGTCTATATTATGGGGCTATTACGGTGAATTACGGGGCTATATACAAGGGCAGAGTTGCCAGTGATACCAGGGCAGAATTCTCACACCTATATCTACTAGATATTCACCCCCCCTCCATTTGTTAATAATCTTGTCAATTCTTGTATTCTTCACCTGTATTTGTAGTTGTAATAGGCACTCTTGGTTTATTTGCCGGCAACAACAATGGGGGAATATTTGTACCATTCGACTTATTCGATTGTTGTGTTTGTATTTCTTGTTTGGCACTCTGTTCGTCTCTTCTAGAGGCTCTTTGAACAATTATAGGATTAATGGGTTGTGTAAAATAATGATGGTGATTTTGTTGACGACTTTGTTGATAATTTGAATTATTTGAATTTCGGGAATGATTGCTTCCAAGGGAGATTCGATGCTTTCCAGAGGAAAGAGAAAGTAATGCTTCTTCTACTTTTTGGCCTAAAATCAAGGAAAAGCTTTTTTTAATATAGAAAAAGCCCACTTGTTGTAAAAGCATTTCCTCTAGCTGATTGTGGGTACAAGGAACGTGAGGAATGTTGTGGGGAGTCCTCAGGTGATCCACCCAAAGAGGATTGTCTAAGGCGATATCTTAAAAGAGTATGAAAGTTTATACGAAAGGTCCTATTTTTCGTCGATTTACCTATTCTTTCTTGGATTCATTGGTGACCCGTCAGATATTCTAGAAGGAGGCAATCTAGGTTTGCTTGTATCAACCCGTTTTCGAGGCGGATCGACAATATTATCAAAAGTAGAATTTCGAAGGACAGATTCAGGCTCTTCCTCCTTCGCAGGCCGCCGCCTTTTTCGGTCAAGTAAAAGAAAATAAACCTTCAAAAAATTTTTAAAATTAAAAAAAGTATCGAATCAAACAATTTTTTCTGTATTGTGTTTTGTAGAAAGCAATTCGGCTACTAATTTTTCTTTATCTTTGAAACACCCCAAATTGTTCATATGTCTGGAAAACAATTTTTTGAAGATTATATGTACATATATAAGGATGTGATTAGATATTCAAATTAATGATCAATTCAGATAAATTTATCTATAAATCTTTATTTCAATAAACGAAATTTTTGAATACGTGTCTCTGTCTAACCATTATTGAAGAATTAATGGTCATTCACTTTGTTTGAACTAAAGACCGTACTTGAAGTGTCGTACGAAATTCGAGATCTCGAAAAAATCTTGATCTCGATAACCGAGATTTTGATCGAGATCTTGTCTCAGTCCGATCTGTTTAAATGTAGTAACTAGAGAAGCATATACCGTATTCTTGCTAATAAATGCCTCTCTAGTTGAAAGACATTCTATTGAATGACACTTCGCATAGAAATACGATAACTTTAATTCGTCTTTCGATCAAATCTTATGATATGACATTGATAAAATATTAAAAACTGACCGAAAAACGTCAGGATCAATGCTATCCTCGTTAGGAATTACATGGGTCTGTGCAAAGAACAAAATTCAAAAAAATTTTTGCTAAAATTAGGCAACCTCCACAACTTGAGCCATAGGCACTTCAAGTTCTAATTCACCCTTATTTGGACCTATTACCCTTAAATTAAAAAATTAGTTAATTAATTTCAAACAAAAACCAAGGGTGTTTAAACACATCTTGTAAAGAAATTCTTTTTGTCGGATTAACCTCTACCATTGAGCGTAGAAGACCTTGGCAGTCAGAAGGAACAAAATGGGGAATATGGAAACTTCCTTTTTTTACTTTTTCCAATAAATTTCGAAGATTATCATCCTTTAAATTTAAAATAAATTTTATTTAAAAACAAAACAAACATCAAAAGGCAAAGCCCCAACAAGTAATGCATAAAGAATTACCTTTTTAAATTATTTTAAAAATTTACTAATTTAATTATTTATTTACCCCACAACTCCAAACATCTGCCTTTCTTCCATCATATTTTTCACCCTAAATTATTTTTGAATATTTTAACTTTAACTTAATCCCTCTATAATATTTTGTGACAACACTTAACTTTAAAAAATCAGTCAAATTGATTCTATCCCGTGGGTAATTTTATCGCCTCCTCTATTACAGGGTGACAAGAAAGTAATGGGGCACACTTTTAAGCCATAACTTTATTCTAATTAAAAATAATCTTATATGATAGAGAATTAAACAAGGAACAGATATAATTAAGAATTCACTTTGTGTATAGAAATTTGTAAGTATCAGTGATCGATAATTATTGCAAATAAGAATATATTTTTAATTAATTCCAACCAATCAAAATAGTATTTACCGAACCGGACCCGAAAGAGGGTGAAAATAGAAACTCGGGGGTAATTGTTAATAACCGGTTGTGTCCAACCAACTTTCTAATAAAGGAAAAAATTATTTATCACAAAAAGGATTCTTAATAAGCCATAAGGTTTTGAATTTTAATCTCATTTTTGACTTTAATCAATTTTTGAATTAACAAAACTTGCCCTAATAACTTCTGGACAAGCATAATGTGGAGAACCTTTAAATTATTAAATATATATTTTGATATAAAAATATAAAGATATAATTTATTCTTTACCACAGCTAGTTTCAAGCATTGAACCCTCAACTTGAAGAGATGCCATTCCAAAATCGGCAATCTTCAAAAAATATTCTTTTTTAATTTAAAAACTTAAAAAATTACTTTTATGTTATTCCTTTCATCGAGTAATAAATTTTCTGGTTTTAAATCACGATGGCTTAAAGTAAAAATATTTCTAAATTTTGGGTTGTCTTTTAAACCAACCAAATATTATGTGCATGACAAAAATCGAGAGCAGAAATTATTTGTCGAAAAAATTTTCGAGCTTCCTTTGCCATTAAACGACCTTTCCTCACTAGAAAATATGAAAAAAGTTATCATTATATAATCACAATTTTATACAGCAAAATACGCCTTGTTAAATTTTTTATTTTGAAAAATAAAGAACAGCTGTCGATAGGTTTTATAGTGAATTGATAAAGTTATACGTCCTTAATTCCTCTTAAGGTAACAAGGTATCGGTCTCTTGAACCAACTTACAATTTTATTAGTTCAAACTGACAATTAATACAACAAAAAGGTTTAGTTGTACATTATTTTAGGTATTAAAATAATTTATTTAAATCTTTGAAATTACCCAAATAATCAAACAATTCTCCACCCGATACATGTTCAAGGAGTAAATACAAATATTTTCTATTCTCATAAACATCATATACTAAAAAATAATATTTGATACTCAGAATTATAGTTGTAAAAGTGAAAATTACATTGTAAAATATGTGAGTGTTCTATTAACCTCATAATGGCAATTTCACGTTCCACCTAATTAATTCAAAAATTCTGTTTAATATGTACAGAAAAAACCTTTTGGAGGACAGATTCATTCAATTTCTCTTTGTTTACAATTTTTACGGCAATCTTTTTACCCGTTACACAATGAGTTCCAGTCTTTACAAGACCTTTAATTTCATTAAAATTCAGTTTTAATTATTTAATCTTAGTTCTACCAGTCTGGCCTTTGCCCAACGTTTTTTCGAGTCGATATGCGCCAACCCATTGTATCTGTGGAAATTACGAATTTAAAAATTTTGAAAATTCAGGGATAGATGAATTTTATTCGTATCACATTCTTCAAATATTAATTCTGAATTAATTCATTAAAAGGATGTATGTGATTCCAAATAATGCCAATTTATTTTTAAATATTTTCAAATAATGCTAGAGACTGAAACTTTTTGGATAAAAGTTAGGGAATTTAAGTTTAAGGTGAGCTACAGTAGATACTAGAGAGTGGAACAAGACAAGATCTCGCTCAAAAAGTATCGTGATAAGATTTTCGAGATGTGATTTCAATCGTTCTTTAAGTCTTCGATATCTATTGCCTACTGCTGCAATCTGAAGGGTTTTATGAACTCGTTTGTAGGATAATCAAAACTGCGTGAAACTCGAATAACTCAAACATTCGTATAAACCTGATTATTTAAAGTAGATGTCATTAAAGCATTGGATGTATTATTGAGCAATTTTTGTTGTTGACTAGTATTGTTTGTTTTATTTGTTGTCATTGTAGTTGAAGCGGGGGTTTGTTGGGGTTTCGTTGGTGAGTCAGTGTTGCTATTTATATTATTAGAATTATTGCCTGTGTTCATAGCTTGTACCAACTCCTGATTAACTGCTTTAAGTTTCTCGTTCAAATCATCTTAAAAAATAGGATTGTTATTAAACTGATCAACTCAAATTTATATCAACAGTAACAGCACTAGAAAAAACGATAAAAGGAAGGGAAGGTTGTTGAATTTCTTCGAAGAGAATTCAAAGTTTCTTTCATTTCCGATTCAATACTAAAACATGTCTCAGTCAAAGTATGAGTGCTACATACATACATAGCTAATAATGTATAATTTACATTAAATTTGGTAATTATTAGAGCCCTCCACTACATATTTGAAACGAATAGCCTTCTAGGCTTTATTAAAACTTGAGGTAATACTACAGAAAATCTTCTGAACTTTAACATAAAAATATTTCTTTATGCATTTTTTGTTTAATTAAAACTAAATTTATTAGCAGATCAACAAAAGCATTACCAATCACGTCCTTTATGAATACAAACATACAATAGCAAGCAGATAAAAATTATAATTTTTCTAAGACAGAATAAATTTATACTAATTAAAAGGAGATATGCTGAAAGCCTTCTAAAATCAAAAATTATTAAAATTTTGGCAATAACAAATTCCTTAAAAATTCAAAAATCGAAAAAGATTTTCAGTTCCAAATACATTCATGGTTACTTTTAGATCTGGACATAGTTAAGGTTCGCCACCCAAGGCTCAAAATAAATAACTACCAATACCAAAAATAAATGAACAGGGAATGGATGACAATAGTAGAGATATTATTAGAATATTCTAATAAAATATGTACAAATATGGACACATGCAATTTTTAGTATCTAGGCAAACTAAAAAAGGAAAACATAATAAAGGTCACGATTCAAAAGTAATTTAGGGTTTCCTCGGAAAATTAGTAACCAAAAATGTTCATAAAAAATTAGCCTTTTTTGACTTTTAACCCATTTATTATCAAAAACTAAAAATTAAGAAAAGAATAGATTTTTAAAGAATATTTCTAGCATTATAACAATACAAATATTTATTTTTGTTTGCTTTCCCTCAGAAACAGGAAGTATTACATATATTGCAACAAGGAAGGAACATGGGAAATTTTAAGTCTAGTAAGTGATTACTCTTGGCAAACAGTTAGTTTTGACAAATTGCCGGGTTGTAAGGAGTTAAAATTTTCCCGACGGGAGACATCAACACTAACATTCAATAAAATATGGGGAAGCAAAACAGCCAATATCTCAAAGAGGCAAAGTCTTTTTTCTTTCTCGCTATATTTAGTTATTGCCAGTGAGCAGCTAAGCAAAAGCCAGCCGAGAAAGCCCAAAGAAGGAGAGCGAGTCTTGTATATCTTAGGCAAGGTTTATCCTCGTCCCACGGCTTCAGCCCAGCTGGATACCCTCTCATTTTCCAGTATTCTCTCTCCTCATTTCTTATTTTTCTTATTTTTTTAAACCACTCTCTAAATTTTTTATCCTTCTCTTATTCCTTTTTTTGTTCTTTAAACATCATTGACTATTGTAATCGCGCTTATGGCCATGACTATTTAAGGCAAAAGCGTTGCAATGATGTAAAATGTGTTGGGGAGAACGGAGAATATATATGCCATGCAATCCTTATGAAATAAAAAAAGGCAGTCTAACAACAATAGTCGAGTTTTGTGCAGAGTTTTTCTTAGCATTTATCGAGTGAAATAACAAGGAAAGGAAATTGAGGAAGAAATAAGATAAGGAAAAAATAGAGGGAGGAAACAACCGAAGAGGAATAAAAATTTTTAGAAGAAATTTAATACCCAAAAGGACAAACACATTTAGATAATAACAATCCGGGTATGGACAGAAAATATGGGGTAGGATAGTAGTCGAACGAACAGAATGTAGGTATATAATATGAAAATTGAGAAACGATTGAGACTAAAATACGGAAAGGTTTCGGTAGACAGTCCCATGTTCAACGTGATTCTAAATTTCCATAACTATTATACCTATAAACAGATTTCAAAATTTGCATATCTCCATCATGATAAAAATTGATATTTTGGATATAAAACAAAAAAAGTGGCCCACACTTCCTTTTTTAAAGTATTGGGTGAAAGTTTGTTGGTGTTGAGTTTAAAAGTCTCCCCAGGGGCCAAGACGGGTGTTATGAGGGAAGAATGCCGACAATGTGTGGCCCAACAGAGAATTGAAAAAGAAAAAATTTTAGTAGAAGAAATTGGATTTCCATGAAAAACTTTTGGTGTAGGTGGCAGCCCAAAAACTTAAAAGTGTGGGGGAGAGGCAGCGGCAATTGTCTGTGAAGTTGAGTAGAAGAAACAAAAGGGCAAACTTTTTAAAAATTTTCGTGTTGATTAGCTAACATACGACAAAAAAACTTTTGGATTGGAAAAAGTGACAAGAAAAAGGATAATTTAGTTAATTAAGGAGAAAATAGATTATTCAAAATTTATTATAAATAAATTGCCGAACTAACTGGAGAGAATTATTTTTTAAAGATATTTGTCAAAATTAATGTATCGAAAAAGTTAGGGTATTAAGAAATATATAAAAGTTTAGGTATACACTATGATCGAAAAAGTTAGGGTATTCGAATGATTTGAGTCCTAAAATGTAAAAACTGCGTAAAAATGGCATCTAACGTTGGTCAGACTCGCAAATAACAGACATGATTCGGAAATTTTTAGAAAAAAATAATTGATATAATTTAGTTTTCTAAAAATTAAAAATATTGTTATGTATTCTTCTTCATTCTCCGGCACCTCATGTAAATCAAAAAGCTAACCTTTCTTTTGTAAATCTGCATGGTTGACTCGAGAAAACTGACTCGAAAATATTTTTTAACTGTTAATTATAATCAGAACTTCTTATAAAATAAAAAGAAACTCAAAAAATTTGAAAAAAATTTATGTCATTAATCAATTATAAAATGTTACCAAAATAACTCAACTCGCTCCATAAGTATTCGACTGTTGCGTAAAATTAAAAATTTTGTTATCCATTTTTCACAACCACCACAAAAATAATTTTTAATAATTCCATCAGTTAGTAATAAACAAAATTATTATTAAAAAATTTGCCTTCATTCACAGTATCAGTATCTAACCTTAAATAAGATAAATTTCTTTGAGTAACTTTCATCAAGCATTATGGTTGATTATTTAATGTTGTTGAAAATTTAAATTAAACATAATTAAAAAATAATGATCTTTTAAGTTAATTTATTCCTATTTGCTTTGAAATTAACACAAACCAAAAAATTTAAAACAATTCCATTTGAGGAACCCTGAATCATTCATTACTCAAATAAAACTACTTAGTACCTCTTGATAAAATCCGCCAATTTCAGAAAATTAGGATTTTTTAAATACAAAATACATTATATTAAAAATTATGTGTAGAAACTAGAGACGGCCTAGGTCTGGATCAGGGCTGGGCTTCGCTTTCGCTTTCGCGTTTCGCATCTTTCGCATTCTCGCATTTTTTAGCGCGAAAAGTTTCGCATTTCGCATTTCGCTTTTTGGTCCGAATGCGAAATTTGTTTCGCATTTAGTATTTTTTTTTTATTCTATTTTTTTTTAGTATTTTTTTTATTTTTTAGATATTTTTAAAATTATAATGTCTTTAATATGGAAGTATTTCTCACTTTCCGGAAGAGTAGCGTTCTGCAAAAGTTGTAAGTTTTCAAAAAATCACCCGCCACGTTCGCCAACAACATTTTTAATATCACATTTAAGTGCTAGTCATCCAGAATTGTATGATGATTTTTCAGCGAAAAGAAAAGCAAAAGAGCCACAACAACAGACATTAAAAAGGTTTAAGCTTTTAATAATTTTATTTTTAGTTAAAAATTTAGAACATTTGCGGAATCAGCACCAACAACATCTCAGGTTTCTGATGATTTGGATGTTATTACAGATCAGGATATTGATTTAATGGATATGGATGAGATTGAAAAAACAAAAATTTCGGAACCAGATATTGCTATATCATTACGAGCCAAAAGTTTTTTTTTCATTTTTAATTTAATTATAAAAAATAGGTCCTTGGGATCAAGATGGAGATAAAAGAAATATGATAAATAAATTTTTAATGGAAATGATTTGTGTTGATTTGCAGCCTCTTTCAATTGTAGAAAATATTGGATTTAAAAGATTACTCAACGAATTACAGCCAAGGTATAAAATTCCGTCACGAAGTCAAGTAACGCGTACATTATTGCCTCAAATGTTTACTTCTTTAAAGGTTATAAGCTTTTTACTGTCGTTATTTAGGTATATATTTTTAGGAAAAAATCAAGAAAGATATTAGCTTGGTAGAATATGTTTCGCTGACAATAGATTGTCGCAATTTCGCGTTTCGCATCTTTCGCATTCTCGCATTTTTTTGCGCGAAAAGTTTCGCATTTCGCATTTCGCTTTTTAATTTTTTTTAAAAAGTTTCGCATTTCGCTTTTTATTTTTTGATTGCGCCCAGCCCTGGTCTGGATCAAGGCCTGGGATTTTGCTGTACCCAGAGTCCGGGTCCAGGCATTTTTTGAACTTCCTGGGTTTTTCCTGAACTATAGGCCCAGGATCTTGCCCAGGTCAAGAAATCAAACACCAGAGTCCAGGAACAAGTTCAGGCTTTTCAAAATTTCCGACCTCTAATAGAAACCAAATCTCCAAATACTTAACTATGTAAATTTGCTGAAAATACCAAAATAGTTTTCTAATATAGGTAGCAAAAAGGTAGAAATAGGTGGTGTGACTTAAAATCCTTCCCTATTACAGAATTTAAAAATTAATTAGGCATATTTATCATTTTAAACAGTATTTTTTAAAACATTTCTAAAATTTTCAAAAAATTTTCTTACCAAAAAAGCCCATTAATACTCTTTACAGTAAAAAATATTATCAATAATATAACAAAATGTTTCGATTTATTAAATATTTTTTATTACATTTAGACAAAAGAAAAATATATTAAATAACTTTTTAGCCTACAAAGTTGTGAAATGCTTAATAAAATTAAGAAAAAAATTGTTTGAGAGAAATATTTAAAAACCTTTTCTTCTCTCTCGCTTTTAACGTTTAAAAGGCTTATTCAAACAATAAAAATATAACCCCCCCCCCTTCTCCATTGCAAACAATAAAATAACTACAACAATCAAGACACTTTTTGCCTGTCCCGAATTTATGTTTCCCTTCGAAAATATAAAAATTACAATGCAAATCTGAACATGTAAAATAACCTCAACTTTTTTAAATACTCCTCTCTCACTTCTCTCTCACTTCTTCCCTTGATTCTCCTTCAATTCACCTCAATAAAATATTTGCTTCTTCCCCCAATTTTTGAATGCAAATCTTTTCTCCCCCTTTAACACTCTCTCAAAAATTCTCGATTGCCATGTTTTTAGAGCAACATAAAAATATTTTATTTTATAAACTATCAGCAAAAATATTCTTCTTTTCATCACTCCCCCTGTTTTACTGTCTCATTTACAAAACCTTTTTAAATAAAATTTTGT